TGGAAATGTGCGACCCAGAGCTCCAGAGTCTTTAGCTCCTCTGTCACGAGAGTTCCTCCATCCCGACTCTGCAGCGTCTCAGTCCCTTGGTTTGCTGGTTGCCAAAATATTCTATATCTCACCATGGTCAGCGTATCCTTGGATCTCCTCAACACAACGAGTCAGCCAGTCATTCTGCATCTCCCTCCTCCTCTGTTGTACTAGGCGTTGGCTTTGGAAGTGTAGGGCTTTGCAGGCGCTGCAGCTGTTTATTTTGTAGGTCATGTTCCACATATTCGTCCCGGGGGGAAGAGTGTGGAAATCTTTGTCATAGTCACCAAACCGATCCTGATGCCGACGACATGCCCGACAGAGGGTCTTCACCACGGTAGTCTGGATGATACCCCGCAGCTCCCCCCGCTAGGTCTCAACACCGATATGCACCTCCAGGGTTTGCAGTTCCTCCAGCTTGGAGTTCATGCAGCTGGTAAAATTCAATCGACGCTCAGTCGTATGAAGTAATACGGTATTCAGGCTACAAGAAGAAGAAGAACATAAAAAGAAGAGGCGAGCGCTGAAAAATGGCATTTATTGACTTGAATTTTCGGATGCCCACTTGTACCCATCATCAGAGATAGTTGCGGATAAGTGAAATGTGGGCACGGGGGATTCAGTATTCACAGGACGCAGTTGTCACGCGATCACGTGTCTATCATAATAACTACCTGCCTTTCTCATCATCTGAGATGGGGATGGAATGGTTGTTGTTTTGTTGTTTGTTTCAATCGTATGTTTTTCGTCCACAGGCCATGCCCAGAAAGCTGACAGTGTGTCTTACCAGCAGCTTAAGGGCAATCTTTTTCTGGTCCTTTTGCCCGCGAGGGGTTAAGCAGTGCTAATCCTAAATGGAGCTGCTATGTCATTCTAGATGGCTGACGAACTCCACTGTTGGTCACAACTTTGTTATAGCGGGAAGACGGCCTGAGTTAGACTGGATCGCCAATGCTGGGACTTTCTCTTTGGTTGTGGAAGGAAGGCGGATGGGGGTAAATGCAGAGAATGCCGGGCATGTAGACACACGCCATACACCCTCGTCTGATTTAGCCCGCCGTAAAAGGACAGTTACCAGGGTGTGGGCGCCGTGTTGGGCACAGTCCCATGGAGCTAGAGGTGACAGCTGGGTGTTGGGACGGAGTGAAATGGTCCACCCCTGTGACGTGTACTCGAAGTCATCGAAGAACGCAAGAAACGGAATAGAATATGAGAATTACACTTTTACAATTAGTTGTTTGCTAGCCGTCAGGTCCGATTTCGCCAGACACTAAGTATAATGCCCAGTACGGCGGTCAGTCAACTGCTCAACATTTGACAAAGTTTTTGGCGTCTAATCCAGGTTTGGTTAAGTAAAATGTGAATTTTTTACACTCTACCACCGGATCTTGGTGCTGTCGCTGCATTCACAGGAGTATAAGCCAGAAGACCAGGTGTCGAAACGTTGGATCATTTTCGGTCTCTGAACTGGAGTTTAGTTCAGATAAGACGGCCGGTTGACGATTAAATATGTGGCCCTACTGAGAAAAAAGAAGGCGAGGACTCCTGCAATAGGGGAATGGTAGTAATAGGGGTTTTATGAGTAGGGTAAACTAAGCTCACAGATTACTGTGTCTGAGAAGCAAAAATAAAAAAAACTCACGTTAGACGATTAGTCTGTTTAAATACCCCAAAAGTCAAAAAACTGCGGGCGCGAAATTTTAAATACTGGAAATTAAGATATTTTAAACAGGCGGAAAAATGAAAACCGATGGTATTTGTTAGATACTTTGAGTGAATTTATCCGACCTGTGAGGACCAGTCATATTAAACGAGAGAGTACGGAGAATATATCGTTAAATCCGACTCCGTGATGACTCTGACTTAATATATAATTGAGCTTGAAAATACTGATAGCCCAAACGCCTAACCTTAGACTTATTTAAATATAATCACGGTAGTTTTACATGCGGCAGTTTGCACCTGGCTCACACTTAACGTTAAATTTTGAATTTCCAGATTTGCTGATGTAACAATTGATTCTATTTCTGTTTATCGGTATGAATAGGCAGCTCAAGGGTGAAAGCCTCATTCCCTTAATAAACTGAACTAAATTGACTATGTCTAAAGCCTAACCCTAACCCCAAAGCCTAAACCTGGACCTAACGCCTAACCCTAGACATAACCCTAACCTCGAACACTAAATCCTAACCATAGCCTTTAAGCATAACGTCTAGCCCTGACCCTCAACCCCCGAACCCTAGGCCGAACGTTAACCCTAATGGTAACACTTGAGGAAGGCGTGACGGGAGGTGAACAAAAGGAAGGGTTAAATTAAGACTATCCAATTGACATAAGTGGGCATTTCATAGAAGTAAGGACTAGATGGGGCCATATGCCTGATCTTAACTAATTACTGTGTTCCTTCTAACGGCGATGGAGGTCGTACAGTGCGAAGGCGTCCGTAAAATTTCCGTGAACACCTTGCTGTGTTAGTTCTCTTCCGTCGATCGTCAAAGGAAACGCTCTCACTACCCGGTGGGCATTTAAACCTACCAAAGAATATGAACTTGGTTCTCAGGGCAAGTCCTTCCCGCAGGTGACGGCTGTAATCTAATTCGTTAGCTTTTTCTGGAATAAAAATTACCGAAGAACTAGAAATGACAGTTGCGATAAATACACTCTTGAGCAAATGAGAATATCACTTAATAGGTATTCTATATAAAGAGGTAGGATATGAATATATGCACGCCAGCCCAGACTTTTGGCGTAAGGCCACCTTTAATACGGGGATGGGTGTAAAAGGGGTTTTACGAGTGAGGGGTTAGCGGTCTTGCGAAAAACTCATTGGTCATTCCGTTACTGTATCAGTCACATGGGCCTTCCCGAAAATGGGCGTGCGGCACTTTCTTTATGAGACCGCTCGGTTCCTTATTAGCTACCTCTTATACTGCGCAAGGTTGAATTCAGAGTTACTTAATACATTAAAGCAGGCATATGGCGTAAATAGGATTTTCTAACTTCCTCATAATTATAATCTTCTTGTCTCCTGTTTGAAGAGTACCAGCCGTAAAACCCCGTTTGCCACTATTCCTGTACTAAAGGTGGTCTTGCTTCGAAGCGCCGACAAGGGGTGTATATGTTCATTACCGACAGGTGAAGCTGTTTTTATACCATATTTTGTATTTGAAAATCGATGTCCTTCATACATTCCTTCAAATGTCGGGAAAACTAATTACAGATACCACCCATACATGCTGATAACTGATATAGAACTATATTTTTGTGCAATACATGAAAAACGCCGTTGTCCTCCTTGTCTGAGAATTCTTTTCTTTCCCTCCGCTAACTTCTAGATGCAAGTTTACCTTAGGAGAGTCAAATAACAACACCCATAACGTAAAATACCTCTCAAAGCACTTTTACTGCCAGAGGCACGGCACTGCACGTCAAGTGTACTCCAACAGTGCTCGTTTACGGCAGTAAATTGCGTGGATTCGAAATTCCGAAGTTCTGAAGACTAAGTACTCCCTCCCTTCTTGAAAATGGCGTGTTTCCCTGCATGTGACCTCACCTGGTGTGCGCGGAAAGTAGGACAAATTCCTCCGGACAGGAAAGCTTTTAGCGTCAACATTCTTCAATTTACATTAATGATCGATCACAAGGGAATGCTTGCCATCAAACGGACTTGTCCCATGCCACTTGCCAGCACTTATCTATGAGATAAATAAGCGTGGGTTCTCATGTGAAAATGTTCTGTTCTCATTAATAAAACTAGCATAAAAGGAATTCTGCGAAACGAAAATGAATTGTACACGCCGGGTTTGCACAGGAATGGGTGTGCCCAGATCCATTGATTTCTTAGATCAAACAATATCCGGATGGGTGGCAGAGGCCACCGGTCCAAACACGGCCAAGACATAATAATGTAGAGGGTGTCGACGGGGCTGCAGGTAGATTGATGCGACACTCAGGCCTATTAAGTCTTTATTCAACTAATCGTAGCTCTGACTGCGACCTGGGAGCAAAAACGCACACATGTGCTCGCACTTGAGATCTCTAAATTTGATGGTACTTCCTCTCTGCATAGACTCATTTCTTAGTCTAAGCTGATCATTTCCTACCTATTCTAACATCCAGTTGTGCAGACGTTTGTCGACCTCTCCACATTTTGGGATTAGTTAAGGGAGAGCGTCCAGAACGGCCCGCAAAGTTTACCGCCAATATGCCTTGTCAGATGTTATGCCGTAACCCGCTATTTCTCACTCTTCATAGAGCGCTAAGTCCTAGGACTCCAACATCCAGCGAAGAGCGTTGGCTTGCACAACTCGGTGACCCGAGGGCTCCCAGTACTAATCAAATAGGAGGAACGGCTGGGTGGTCTGACCCCCATCGGATGTTCAAACAACTTCACCCAACGTGTTGCCAGAGGACGACCTGGCAAATGACCAAGATACGTCCCCCCCTCCCCCAATCTCTTTAATAACTCAACCATTTACTTCCGTCTTTGAGTCTTCATGCCTTATGAACCACGCATGTTCATAGATAAGTCGACTATTTGTGTAGGCGTATTGGCAGGATGAAATACTAAAAAGAGTGCTTGCCGGTCCGTCTTTCATAATTGTGGTCGCGAATGCAAGGACCCTTATGGGGGTGGCCTCGAGATTGCAGTAATAAGTGACGCAAGGCCCCTGGAGAAGATAATCCCAACGTCTTGCACTGCTGATTCGAGAAGGGTGAAAAGTGCACCGGCATGAATTTCACATTACCACAGCCCAAGTTCACTACGTGTGGCGATTGTTATCGCCCTGTGACTTATAGGGGCAGGAGTCTACCTTCCTCCAGCACTTCAGACGGACGTTTTTTTTTTCAAACGAAGACCTGAACTTGCCACCGATTACCACTTTGCCCAAAGAGAGAGGATATAAGTAAGAAGTACAATGGTATTTTATAGAAACAAAATATTCGGAATCCGGAGGGGGGAAGTGAACTCAGATACAACGGAAGAAACACAGATCGAAAGACGCAGGACGCGGCCGAATATTTGACGAATCAAGCTGCAGGAAACCAGGAAAGCTGCAATAAGAGTTTCTTTCTCAGAACGGAGGGGTTTGATCACCTAACAACAACAGCCTCTTCTTCCTCCGTCCTTGAGGTCACCTCCTCAGGGGAGTTAGAGGCACGAGCGTCCTCTAGACCGTACTCGACGAGAATATTGCACAAAGGGACCAGTTTTCGCCGGTAATCCTTTACAAATGAACTGAGTCTCTCCATAACCTGGAGGCAGAGGGGAAAATGAAACTGACTGTAAAGGTGAGTCGGAAATGCATAGAAAGTCAAGGCAGGAAGAAAGTTGCTGGCGAAGATCGTGTTCCAGAGTCTCAAAAAAATAAGCAAAGCTGGTGCTTTGGACCCTTCTCTCCTCCCTCCCTTCCTCAAGACGAGCAGTCCTGTTGTATTAGACCTAACTGGGTCTAGACGAGTGTGATGAGCGGGAAACGAAAGGCCACGATTACTTATGAAACAGAGACGACTTGCGTGTGTGTCTGACCAAATCGGAGAGCCGACTGCTGAATTGTGGAGGGAAAAAAAGACGTCGACACTGGGGGTTCCATTACCCCGGTAAATCAGCGAACTTATCCCTCTAATAATTCTGACGCAATTGAATGGTTATGAAGGCTGCCAGGACAGAGTCCGGCCGCAATGGCTCCCTCTCAATGTGGCCCTAATGGCCCTCATACATGTTAGATCCGAGCCCTCTAACAGAGGCCTGGAGCATGTGACGAGGACCAGGCCGCGAGTTGCACGCACAGACACGCTGTTCGCCTGTGTCTGCGCCCGCCTCCGGTCGTCTTGACATTGCCCAACCACGGGAGAAGGCCTTGTCGTTGGTTAACGCATGTCACACACACACAGTCTGCCCTAAAACTCTGCACCCACCAGCGTACTAGCACATGAAAAATATCTGTGACTGATGATGGGGAGGGTTAGGACTTAGTCTGAGAGATCGTTCATCTTTTCTATCACAGCTGACGCCAAAATTGCTAATATTGTACAGCACAGATATCAAGAATATCCGCCTTACTTGGGAGCAAATTAACTCCGGTTTGTTTGTCTTCGGGGACGAAGGTAGGCTTGCCTTGATGGCGAAACCGCGGCGCATGGCCACGCTGTATTGATGCGTCCAAACGATTAAACACAAACTATGAGCCAGCCATAGGGCTTTGGCGATTACCCCGTCCATCCCAGATTAGCGATGATATTTGCTAGGAGAGGAAAGGAGTGCTGTCGGTGCTGCGTAGGCCTGCCGCACTAGAAACTAATCCACGCACAAGTCACCAATGGGGTAGGCGGTGGATGTCGTCGTTTGCGATGGTCGAACTGGCATGTGTGTGTGACCAGCATTATGTAAGGAACAATCACGCAGTCTCGACTTTTCTCCTCCCAATCTCACCACGTTCCAACAGGAGGACTGTAACAGAGGTTTTTGAGGTCAAAGGCCCTTAAAGAACAAGGCGTAAAGGTCAACGTATCCCGTGCTTTCAAAGTCTCGTTTGCCAGAAGACGATATTTTGCTCAATGCGATATTCTGGTAGTAGAGCGGTGGTGGTATTCATCAATTGCTGGAAGAAATACGGGCGCCACCGTGTGCCCCGGAATTCAGCTGCCATGGGCTTTAGGTATTTTAAGGCAGTTCGTTCATCAGGAACGATAAGAGCAACTGCTATTCCATGAGTGTATTGGTGACTTGAGCGCGAGCTGGTTTATAGTGAAAGGTACGTGTGTAACATCGACTGCAGTTTCTATTCCCATGTACAACATTTTTGTTCGTTTTAGGTAGGCACTGCAAAACAATGGGGGTAACTTTAGACCACAGAAGTAGTCTCTCACTGGGCGAAATAGTCGCAGGTAAGAAGAAAGATTTGCAACAAGGGCAAAGTGAGCGCCATAATTGGCGGTAGTTGAAATCAGCGCAGTCTCTTCTATATGAAGGATCGCTAAAGTACTTGGCGTCGCGCCAATTAATCTCGGCATCTACACGTTCACATTATGTCAGGGGTCGCCCCTGCGTCGCTTACGCCTATAACAGTTCACTGCTAACTTCGCACAAATGTCCAATTGCGAACGAAGCTTGCACTTCGTGATGTTGACAAAATCATGGGGAGGTAAAAAAAACATAGGCATGATGCCGAGCAAGTAGACTCGGATCAAAGGTTGAGCTTCAGTCGATTGGTAAATAATAGTGGCACCTACATAGTCCTCCAAGTCCGGCTGGTCAAGAGCCAAACGCCTAAGGAATTCCGTTCTACTTGGGAAGAGGCCCAAACCGAGCTGAAATTAAAAGATGTGCTACGTTACTCGGTTCTTCAGATTGCAAGCAAGTTGAACAACCCTCGAAAAAAATGACAGAGAAGTTAGCGGTTGCAGTGATCGCCCTACCTTCTCAGTTATACACGGGAACGCGCATTTTTGTCTTAATCAGCAGTCACAGTCCTGGAGGAGTGCTCGAGTCATTCGCCTGCCATGCCTCATCACCCATCGCTCCGCCGGCCGGGTGTTCACAGGCAGCTTGTGGGATAGCCTCCTTGGTAGTACTCGACTGTCGTGTACGTGGAATATACGCGAGGGGTGAATTTCTCCCACCGTCGTGCTGACTCTTGCACTGTGGGCTCGAAAATATTACAGATTGGAGCGGAAATGCGTCTTCCCCGATATAACTGACAAGGCAAGGCGATCACAGGAACCATGATTTTATTGTTCTGACGTCTTGAAAACAAGCTTTCATCGTCGGAGGTAAGTTACGTACGGTGCTTCACAGTACTTGAGGATTTTTGTTAGTGCTGGCGTGCCACTGACTTCCAGGCCACCTGTGCGCGCTGCACTGCGAGGAGGGAGGGGGCTGGTCATCGTAGCATCGGTCCTTCCTTATCTCTTTGCCGCGAGGGGGAGAGGAGAGGGCGGCCTCTGGGTGATCACGGCCATTGCTCTCGTTCGCATTGTTCGTGTTCGCTCCGTGTATCTTGCCTTCATGCCCCGTCCGCACCTGCACACAAACGTGTGAATGGTTTGTGTCACCTCAGTGTTGATGTCAGGCTGACAGTACTCGTCACTGTCGTTTGTTCCTTCGGCGTGCTCGTGTCAACCTGCGTTCAGATTGCGTAGGTGGTAACGTGAGTCTGCGTTCGTCACCGGTTCCCTGTTTACGTTTGTGTCTGATAACCATCCACGTCCACCCGTGT